AGTGTGTGTGTGAATGGTGTGAGAGTGTGTGTGTGAATGGTGTGAGAGTGTGTGTGTGAATGGTGTGAGAGTGCAACCTGCAATGGGTTGGTGCCCCATACTGTGTTGTTTCCTGCTTTGCACCCATAGCCTCCGGAACAGGCTCTGGGTCCCCCGCCACCCTGAAGAGGACAAGCGGTTTCAGAAAATGGATGGACGGATGGATATTAATAGTTTAAACTTCATTGTCTCCTGGTCATCCAGGTTAATATTTAATGGTGACATTAACGTGTCACTCGACGTCGTAATTAGGTGTGTGTGCCTCACCTTTTCTTCTTTAGCTCGTTACGATAACCTCAAAAATAGTCAGGAGATGCCAGATATGCAAGCCTTAGACAGCAGTTAAAATTACACTGTAATAGTTTTGCCTTTTTAAAGGGATTTGCTTAAAAATTAAGGTATTCTAACTTCTGCTGTTTTTTGTTTAGCTCCTAGGTAACCTAGGTGTTGATCATCTGACTGCACCCAGTCCTCAGGTATAAGCCTCCTTAGACAGCGTAACTAGAACATTCATTTTTATTAATGCCGGCGTGCTTTGACATTTCTCAGTGAGTTGCGGGAAATTATTTCTATGTACTGAGCAACAGCTCAAATTAAGAAATACCTCACAGGGTTGATAAGTGTTAAGGAAAGTCCCTTTTTTGTATATCTTTAACTACTTTTAAATATTTTTCATATTCATAACACTTAAACCCTCTACAATGACACTTGAGCTGTTCATAATTATATTCGTTCCAGTTGCTGTGACCATCAATAATTGTCTTTTTTTTTCTTTTCAAATCCGTAATTTACTTTCAGATTCTGCGTCATGCCATTATGTGTGGAGCAGATATACCGTTGGTGTGAACTGCTGAACATTAGGCCCAAATTAACAGATGCCTTGATTATGACATCACAAACATGCCTTGATTATGACATCACAAACATGCCTTGATTATGACATCACAATCATGCCTTGATTATGACATCACAAAGGTGGTGGATCTGGCGCTCTGACACCCACTGTGGGCGGGCCTATGGCAAGCTCTCAGTCTCTGCCAAAGTTCATATTTGTCACTTTATTGGTTCCTGACGCAAGACATCAGACAGTAATTGAAGGCGCTTGGTAAGCCCACCCACTGTGGGCTCTGAAGCTTCGTCGCCCCCCCTATTCTGCAACCGAGTGTGCTTAGCAGATACGATCAGACATTTAATGATGCTGACAGGCAGTGCTGCAGGCCTGAGGGAGCGGAGAAGCATTTGAGAAATTTTTCCCCAGGGAAGAGAGAGAGAGAGTGAGAGTGAGAGACAGACCAGTGAGTGTGCGTTTGGTCCACATCTGCCCCAATGATGAAGCATTTCAGCAACTGACAGATCCCTGAATTCCTCACGACCACCTTCAGATGCCGCGGATATCGCAGAGAAGATTACTAGGAAATATTTATAGTCTTATAGTTTAAAAAGGTGTATTTAAAAATACCACAAACAAAGGTTTTTTGTGGCTTTCAGAAAAATAAATATGGGTTATATGAAGGTGTGATTTTATGTTGTTATGGTAATGATAGACCGCCGTAACAGCACTTAAGTAAGGTATTTGCATGCATCAGGACTCTGTGCATGTGAGGTTACTGTTGTAGTATGTCTTGACTCGCTCGGCATGCTGGGATGGGGACGGCCCCCAGCGGGGGATCTCCCTGGCCGGTACTCACTGTCCAAACACACTGTGCAGATGGTCTGCTTCGATCCACAACGTTGCTGCACGCCCTCCCCAGGTGGGCACTCCAAGCAGCACTCCCCACTCGAGGTGTACTGCCCGGACTCGCAGTGCTCCTTTGCCGCTAGCGCCCCCACCTGTCACGGGACACAAGGGAGGGGGGTGAGATCGCTGGCACGTGGTGGCAACGCCTATGCTGTCGGGTACTGGCAGGTGCTGAAAGTACCATGGCTGTTATCTAAGCGTCACAGGTTCGAATCCCAAAGTGAGCAGTCTATACAAAACCACTTTCTCAAAAATGTGCTTCGCTTTCGATAAAAGTCTCTGTTAAACGAAGGAAACTCCGCAGAGCTTAATTCCCACATTACCAAATACTCTGATTCTTTAAATATTCAGGCTTCGGTTAAAGAAGTCTCTAGACCAGTGATTTGCAACCTAGTTCTCGGGGAGCCCAGACAGTCCATGTTTTCGCTCCTCCCCAACTTCCTAGTGGTAGCAAAAATGTGGACTGTCTGGGAGTCCCCATGGACTGGGTTGGCAAACACCTCTGCACACTGAAGCGCACGTTTAAGCACAAGGCACAGGGGTGTGCAGCCTTTTACACGAGCAGTGGATCGCATCAGCCTGCCCTGCTGTCCTTAATGGATGACTGGTCAGGCTCTGCGGTCAGGACTCTAATAGCTCAGCTCTCCTTGGAGCAGCGCAGGATCTCCGTGGCCGTGCCTGCGTCTGTTACCCCGTAAGCTGATCCCGAGGCCACCCACAGACCTCCCGACGGGCCGCTTAGTCTCCCCTGCCCAAGAGCCACCTTCCGCGGGCAATGCGCGGCTCTCACTCAACATATCGCTGCCGTTTTCGTTTCCTGCTCTACTCTGGGTAAAAAACACTGGAGAAGGTGCCTTCAGTTCAGGGAGAATGAAAGCTCACCCAAGTCTCCATCAAGCCATTGTCAGGACTTGTCCTCCTCTCACTTGACCCCAACATAATGGTTTTGAACCTTGTATTTTTTTTAAATCGGCACTGCCCTACATTCGGGACATAAATCACCACACACCTAGTGGTGTGAGCTTTAGTGGTAACATACATCTTCTCTTTCATGCCCTGGGATATGTACCTCACTTAACCTTCACGAGATTTCATCTTCTCCCTGGGAGTTCACGGCCCCTCAGACCATCTAGCCATCTGGTCCCAGTGCTTCCAGTCTGGCCATTATCATTCCAGTATCCCACGCTACCCTTCCAGGTTATTTCCCGGGTGAGATTATATCTTCGACACATGGGCCAACTGGAACACCAACGTGCAATATTTCATGTACTGAATACCTAAGCTCAACCATTCCCCCTGCCTGTCTCCAGACGACATTTTATACTGGGTTTAACAGCCATGAAAACCAAAAACTCTATCTACTTCCAGGGTTCCCAACTTTTTCAACTCGAGACTAGTCTGCATGTAACAATTCTATTACATTGTAAATCGCCTGTAGGGTTTGCAAACTACCCCAACGCTTTTGATGTAGCTAATATTAGTTTCATAGCGTAATAATGTAGATTTGCTGTAAGATTTCTTGCGTGAGTCTGAAAGCGTGAGTGTCGCATCAGATGTGTGAGAGTTGGCTACCCTGCATTTCAGGTGGGATGTTTACTGTGCAATCGTTAAATTTACCACATCCAGGTTTCCGTACCAGCCGGAAAATGGACACTGAGTCGCAATATCCGTCACAAGCATTTTGCTTACTGTATAACTAAAATACATTAGTGCATCACTCGTAGATAATGACTTTTTAGTGCTGCTGAGCTGTACTGCTTCTAATTTCTCCACCAAACCCACTGCATGTTTGTTAATTAAGTGTTGCTAGCTTGTAAAAGACGCGCACGTCCGAGCTGCATACCCCTTTTGTAAATGACAGTTTCAAATGTTGGTAAGTTTCGTACGCCCTTCCGTGTTCTTAAACTATAATGAAAAGCGCTATAGTTACACGTGCAGTGCGCGCTGTGCGTCATATACGGTAATCTGCACAAAAACAGCTTTAAAAGAAAAAAGCGAGCTCCTCAGCCCCTCTTTGTACCTATTATTACACGCGTTATTCGGCCGCCGGTGAGGGCGTAGTCAGAACTTGATCTGGTAATGTGTACATTAATGTGTAGAGGAAAAACAAGAACTGATTTCCCCAAACCTGCAGCGTTATTACGTGCATGCTACCGATTAATCTACTAGTAGGCAGCTCAACGCCTGTCAGCGCAGGAAGTAACATGATTTACAGTCAGCGCTCAAAATCCCACGGTAGCTTTGAACTGGCAATGATAAATAAAGTTAAGTAAGTAGTTTTGCTTTTGTTTGCAAGAATAACGAGTCAAAAAAATGAAAACGACATTATTGTCAGAAGTCAAGCCGGGACTTTGCGCGTGTTTTCTACCTGCGCTGCTCTCCGTACAGGTGATCCGCAGCTTTTTTCCTATAGTCAGATACATGCATGGTTACGCTTGACACCCCGACCTCCACCTGTCAGCAGGGTTTATGGGCTACTTTTCGCAAAATAATCCCTGTTAAATAAACGCGTCTGCTCTTGTTAGAACACGGATTGACGGCGTGCTGCCCCGTAGCACAGAGCATTTCTCCCGATCTTATCTATAGACTCGTGGGACCCCTTGCTCATACTGTGGGTGTTTGCTCATATGGGTAAAGCTGTGTGTAAAGACCTGAGTGATGTCTCAAGCAGTAACGTGTGACGTGTTCTCGTGGCTGTAATCTGAAATGATTTGAATAATTTGAACCACAAAACAATTTTAAACAAAATTATATATCCAGGCTCATTGCAAGTTAAGTGCACCGGCCTTTAACAAGTTTAACAAGTGTTGTACAGAAAGAGAAAATATACATTCCGGGCTGAAAAGTCTGTAATAAGAAGCCTATGACATACCGCGGATGGGGGGGGGGGGGGCTGCAGCTGTGAAATTATGATGGGATTAATTGGACCCCAGTGGTGCGTATGCAGCTGTGATTATTTTATTTTACGTCTTAATGTCCCTATGGGCCGCCTCGGCATTTGAGAATTTGAGATTCTTATGACAGTTGCCAAGTAACAGAATTGACCTGGTATGATTATTATCAGTATTATCATCATCATCATTATTGTTATAATAAGTTATTGAATCATGAACATCCCTGACGTGATCGTTACCGGTACACATCTGTGCGCTTGTATATTACGTTACACATATGCATTACGCTACAGGCAACTCATACTTTTTCTATTAAACGCCCAGTATTCAACACCTAATGCCCTCATTACAAAAATTAGCGGAAGCATTAAACAACCATTCTTTACTAGGTTAGAAATAGCCGAAGGATATAATTGATAAAAAAAGGGCAGCGAAGCTTAGCCTACGTGGTTGTTTGTAATATGGGAATTATTTGCCCTTATTAGGAACCACCGTGAGAGTCACTCCTAAAACGTAAGATCTGTACCAAGGACCTGTCGACAGGCGCGGAGACAAACAGTAATTATACTTTTTATAGGCTACTTCACCGTTTATATCTAAGCCATACGTCAGTCTGCAAAACTATATGATGCTATGTGAAGCCTGAGAAACACATTAGCTTCCCACTGCTATACTACATATAATAACAATAATACATATATACAGGGTAACAAGCACTGATGTAAAATTGTATGATCGCTATTAACACTTGTTTTCTTTTTATTTATTTGATTGACAAACTACTTCCCGACCTAACCCTCACTCCCGACCTGCGCCCGGCACCTGCTCCCTGTACTTTACGTAGCTTATATATGCGAATAACTTACATGATCGCGGCTGCGCGAAACTCTCAAAATTAGGAGGTTTAAAACACGCGAAAAAAATGCTGCAATAATAATAATGGATAGAACGTAAAGTGTATTGGAAGGTTCCTCACTCAGACAGATCCAGTCACTGTCAGTAAACGCCGCGTTAAGTAAAGTAAACAGACTAATCCTATCAAAAACCAGGCGGCGGAGACCCTGGAAATTCATTCCCCCACTACCGAGAAGACAAGATAGATGTCCGATTGGACAGACAGCAAAAAATAAAATAATATACCAGTCACGCGTGTTGATACTCACCGTTCCCAGCAATACCATCATCATCAATGTTCCCATCTTGCCTGTATACAGTATTTTGACTGCTCGTAACCGACGTATAAAAACGAAAATCTGCAAATTGAATCGCTCATATATATCAACATATAGTATATGCATGTATTAGTCACTTCCGTGAGCGTGAAATAATTCGTATCGAGCTGTCACGTTATCCACGCGCGATTCTTCATCCCCTCCCGAGTTACAGTAATGTTTCAGCAATCAGCCTAAAACCGAGGTTATTTAGTCCTCGCGCTCCGGCGCCGCGTGGGACATTTGCAGGGCAAAACGCAGGTTGCTGTGCCGCGTCTCCCTGCGCTGCCAAACTGTACCGAGGAGAGAGACACGCACGTTGATATGAGGTCAAAGCTTGATCCCCCCCCCACGGCCAATACGAGTCCCAACCCCCCGATACACTACGCCCACCATACCCTCACCACGAGTACCCAAAACACAGATGGGGGTTCGTGCATTCGTCACACGAAATAGCTTTAATAAACTCAAAGCAACTTTTACCTGGTTAACTACGTGTAACGATTTTATTATATTAGCGATTTTTTAAATAATAGTGACGAGCCGTACTAACACACACAAAGTGTATCAATTCATGCTGATATATACATCTGCATTGGAATATCATTGCTGATATTATAATTTAAATGTAATATATAGGTGTTTTGTATAATGTGCTTAATGTTATTTGTTTAATCCACAAAGACATAGACGTCTATCACTATTTGCGGGGTGCACGGACCTTTCGGTCAGTCAGTCCATGTGCGCGCGCGCTGTATTAAAATTAACCACAAGGGGGCAACTGAAGTTAATCGTTTGATGCGCATCTTAATGGTCCGACTTCGCCGCGCGCGCACACTCCATTAAACTGACACGTGGGTGTCGGAGCCAGTTTTTGCTTAAATCATATGCCGAGAGACCCGTTTTAATTATTCATTAAAGCATCCGCTGTATGGAAGCCCATGGATGAATTTTGCTGACAAATGAAACAGCTTGCATCACAAAGAGCGATTGATTTGCGAGTGAAAATTTCACACAGTATACGAGCCTGCGCAAAGAAATAAGATAGATCAGGTGTTCCATAAAAGAGCCTGTTTCTAAATATACAGCTCAGTCTCCTCTCTTATTGATTGCATGACTGCTATGGGTCACATTTACATTGAGCCTGTATGCAATGTGACAAATCCCGCTAATGCGGAGAAACTGGAGATTTGTTTCATGAAAATGTGACGTTCATTCGAATCTGTTAATGGATCATGTTAGACAAACTAAGCAGGGATTTTCTGTTTACTTATCCAGGTAAAAACATTTGCACTACATCCTTGTTATATAGATGATTCGCAGTTTAATTATTACCTGCCTGACTCAGACACATTTCTACAAATTTTGGATGCAGGCGTATAAAACGACGAAATGTAATATTTTTCACTTTGATAGAAAGTAAAATTGCTCTCTCTCTCTCTCTCTCTCTCTCTCTCTCTCTCTCTCTCTCGAACAACTGTTTAATTGACCAGAGATAACTTACTGACTTTTAGGCATAACTAATAAAATTAGTTTTAAATTACTGGATTTAGTACAGAAGTGTCTGTTATTTTCCCTGGAGAATCCAAAAAAATGTAATATATAATTTAAAATATATAATAAGTAGGATATTTTTAAATGCAGTGTAAGGTATACAGTATACCAAGAACTTATAACAAAAAGGCTTATTGCAGGGTACTAAGGGACACCAGCCTAAAGTGATTGCATTGGGCACTGGGCCATCCCAAGACACAGAAATGGCTTCACCATGCCTTGGCATTGACTCTCCAACTGCCTGGAACTCTTTTGGTGGTATATGAAGTTCCAGCATTTGGTGTTTTATTGATGATGGTTAAAAATAATCCCTTGCTAGGCAGCATTCCAGAATCTCCCATAGGCATTTAATTGGGTTGAGTTCTAGTGGAATGGCCATTTGGTTTATATCATTTTTTATGCTGGTGGAATTGCTCAGTGACCATTCCTGTCCTGCAGAGGGCACTTTCATGCTGGAAGATGCCCCTCCTGTCAGTATAGATGAAAGTGATCACGCAGAATGGCTTTGCGGGCTTTAAAGTCCTCTCAAAGGCGCTGAGTTCAAGTGAAAAACCAGAAAAATGGTCCTGACAACAGAGCAGATGCAGAACCCCTTTTATTGTGGGTAAAAACAATCAAGCTTCTAGACTTATTTTCGTGTGGGTCACACATGTGCTGGCTTGCTCATTGGGACCAAGCTGAAGGATGACTCATCATCTCCAGTTGCTGAAAAAAGCGAGCAAATTTCTGTGCAGATTAATAAGGAGTTTATGCATCGACTACATTGCCTCACTCAGCATGCATTAATTACTCAACACTCCGCTTGATGAAGCTGCTTGCTCACTCCTTAGACTGACTCCATTATTCAGTTGCTCATCTGTTACTCCCTGCATCTGTATCTATGCTCTGAATTGCCGTGGTGACGTTTACATTCCCGTGCATCCTTACTCGTAGCTGATGATGGCTTTTCTTCAGACCCTCATGCCAGCATCCCCTTGACCACGCTTGCTCATGAGCCGTGCAAGCTAACTGGCCTGTTGTCACTAAAGGTCCTGTCAAATCAAGAGATACCCCTCAAGATTGCTTCTAGCCATCGTACCATCTTATAAGTTCTTAACTTTGGAATCATGCAAGTGAATGATATATGATTTCCTGTATCATACAGTTTATTGACTCTTCTATAGGGCAAGTTAGGAGATAATCCTGTATTTGTGCTCTGCATGCCCTTGTACCGAAAGACACTCGTGGTGACAGGAGACAGCTCATATCAGTAAACTCCTTTCTAGAAAACCCTTGTCAGCAAAGACAAAAGAATCCAGGCTTAAAATCATCTGCAGCAGTAGGATCGGGTTTCCCTCAGCGACGGCCGCGTGAACGTCGGAGCGCGCTCCCGTCGTCGTATCGATCTCCGGGCCAGTCGATGTGACCGCATCCTACATCCGGCTAGCTGGGCGTCTGTAAGCGAGCGCACTCCTCCGAAAGGGGTACGCGGGCTCCGGCTAGCGCGGGGAACTCGTTCTTCGGGGTGACGAGCCAGTCGGTGAAGCACGGGACCTTGACGGAGGGAATGGGGAAATACATTGGCACTCTAGGGGCAAAAACAGGTAGATGAACGAAGAAAACGTACAACAACTCACTGCTTCACGGTCTAACTAAAATAGACAAAAAATACTAAAAATAGACAAAACTCCTGTCAGGCAGACAATCTCAGTATCTTACAAAGCGAACACTTACTTCACACTCAGCAATTCTTCTTGGCTTTTAATGTAGCATGAAACTGTTTTTGTATTTGTTTTGATTTCGTCTATTTCTCATCTGTATATTTTCATAAATTGTTCAGCACTTTGGTCAACTGCAGTTCTGTTAAATGTGGTTTATAAATTTAACTTGACCTGATGAATGATCACGGGTGGAATGCAAAGGCTTGTCTCCCAGAAGATCCCTGTGTCCCACACTGTGACATCCCTGTCAATTAGGGTCTCAGTCAGTGTTCAAATTATTCTTGGGGGGTTGACCGGTCTGACTATGGTGTTGACTGGGTCGGCAGAAGTGGGATGGTGATGAGGGTAAAAGTTGTTGAACGCGTTGGGAGGGGGCGCACTAAATCATATTTTTTCTCTTATCTGAGGTCCTTGCATTCATATGGGGGGTCCAGATCCCCTTCAATTTGCAAAATGGCCTCAGTTCCGTAGTTTGGTTTTACCAAATGTTATGCTTGACACTTATTGGCTTGTTACCAACCCTAACCTGCGGGGATTGGTCGTTTCGGGACACGCCCACTCTTCACCACGGACTCCACCGCAAACGTGAGCGTACAGGAAGCCGGCTACTTCTCAGGAAGAGTGGCACTTATCCGCTGACACCAGGCAGGCAGCTGCGGCATGATCGTGAAGCTTAGAAGAAAGCGAACGGGGGAAATCAGAGCCTGTGAATCGTTTCGCAAAAGGCCGCAGACAGACTTTGACTGCGACTGTGGCTCGCTGCCAAGGCAAGCTAGCATTAGAAAGGGAATTTATTTTTTGTGGGGAAAGGGGGCTGTTTTGGTTGTTTGGTTTTTGTTCAGGATTTCCTGGCTGATCATCATGATAGTCAGTGGTAAGTTTGCTGATTATGAGGATTAAGGGAATAAAGCAATTATGCATCTGGAGAAAAGACGGAACCGAAGCATCTGATTGGGCCCTGATTGAGGAGCTCAGGTCTAATTCCATGTGGCTTCCTGACAAACATTCCTACCCTATGCAACCTTTTCGTCTCGAGATCTGAGAATGTGTGTAGATGGATACTGAGGGAGGTTGATTACTGCATCACCCCCCCCCATCCCCCAACCTACATATGAGAAATTTAACAGTCTCTCGACATGACGGAACATATGTGCGTTTAAGAAGATCTGAGGACCGAACCAAATCGAGCCATTAAAATCATATCCTTGTTTTTTTTGTTGTTGTTTTTTCATTCATTTTCCATAAGGAACTGAATTTCACTCATTTCCATGACAACAACAAAAAAAAAAACGACAATAGGAGGGAACTTTTCGTAAACCATCTGTTTAACGTTAACCAAATTATTTTTTCCCAACACTGTGCTTCACTGGCTTTGCCTCAATCTCAGGTTCACAAACCACGGGGGCGGGGGGGCGGCTTGTGTTATTGATTGGATTGAGATCCGTGTGCAAATTCCCACAGGGAAAAATCCCACCCTCCCCGCTCGCTAACTGTTTTTAGCACTGGGCTCCTTCCCTCTGGTTCCCCTCCGGGTGTGACAGACCACCGGGGAGGACTTGCCACCGCATTCTCTGACCCGCCAGAGGTCAGATGGGAGTCTTTACGAGCCGTTTTTCATTTTATTCGTCTTCGCGCCCAGCTCGGTTCATTGATTTCAATCTGATAAGTGGCTCAGAATTTGCATTGGCTTTTGGTTTTGATTATGTGCCGTTTCTGAGACCAGGTGGCACGGGTATAAATTTCGCCGTTGACAGTTTTCAATCCCCATTTCGGGCCTTTACAGTAATCGTTCGCAGCTGTAACTGCCATTTACAATTCCCCCTCCTCCTCCTCTTCTCTTTATTAATTTTATCATTCTTTGTTGCTATTGGTCCCCCTGTTTCACAGGAAATGATGCTCGGCGCTCAAAGTCTCATCTGCGGCCGTGCAGTCGGCCTGACACCGAGATGAAGATGAGCGAGGGAGCGTTTCCCAGGCCCTTGGGGAGGGAGAGCGGCGCCGGGGGGGGTGGCAGCCGTGAGGCAGATGCGGGTGCACATTTCCCACGGTGCCGTGGGACGCGACGGGTCGAGGCGTCCTGGG